GTTCTTAAGCACATTCACACTTAGTAAAATATACAAGGATATATTTAAATCCCATCAATTTCAATGAGATTAAAACATACTGAAAATTAAGGATGTGCTTAAATAGTTTAATCCAAGCGTTACATAATAGCCTGTGTGATAAGGAAGAAAAAAAATTGAAATGTAGACTTTTTTGTCATCTCACAACTTGGAAACAGATAAATGCATTTAAAATAATGTTTTTGTTATTTTGTACACTAGGTTATAATGAGCTATATATATTTTATGGAATTTAATGTAAAACTAATTTCATGTAGTTAAAATTTAAACCTGTTTTGGTAGCTGTATAATTTTGAATAATTCAAAATAACTGACTCATTTCAGTGCAATGGCCCAAAAACGCAAATTTGTATTAAAATTGCTATATATTAATCATCAGATTATATCTGTCATTCTGAAATAATTATGATGCAAACACTTATCATCATAATTTTACATAAAGATATTATAGTATAAGCAACACAATTAAAATAATAATTTTGCAAGTATATCAGACATGTCTGGTGCTAATGTCTTGGGTAAACATTATGATAACGGTGCTAATTCTCTGAATTTTAATGTCAGTTTAGTAATACAAGGCATTTTGAAAAATTTGGCTTCTTGAAGTTTTGTGATTACATAAGTCTGACAGAAATAGATATTTTATGAAGATAGGTATGATATGAAGAAACGTAACATGTCTAAAATATATTTTTAAATATCCTGAAAATTGTAAAGTAAATTTGGTTTCTGTAGTCTAAGGATTGTAGGATGGTTTGGGCTACTGGCGTTGCTGCATATTTTTGTATTTCATCTCACTCATGAATTTCTTTTTTCTAGAAGGATGGTTTCCTTCCTTAGAATCTGTATCTTTTATACTCCTAAATTGTATGTGAAACACTGGGTAAGATTAATCTTACTAAATTTAAATGCTCACAGAGTACATGCAGAACTGGAACTACATCAGAACTAGCTGCCTACACTACTTTAAGCAGTTAAAGAGGGGAAATAGGAACTTATCCCATTTCATTATGATAGTGATCTAATGTCAGATGATTCATAATGTGGATAAACCCATTTCATGCCAATGAATGTAAAGGGACAGTACACAGATAGCTCACAATTAGATGCCAAATAATTGGAAAAAGTGCAGCCTCCCCAATCTGATCATATTATTTATAATTTTTGTAAGACTACTATGTGCCACATTAAGGCCTACATAACTCTTCGTTGTTGAAAGCTAAATAATGACAATAGCTGTGCATTATAATCATCAGCGTTTGTGCTTTGCCCAGTTAATGTACACCATATAATTATGGATTTAAATGATTAACAATATAACAATGGTGCAAACAATTCATGATTTTGTTGCCAGTGAAATCTGTTTTGACAAAGGCTAATGATACTTCACACTTGAAGCAACTGCATCTGTAACAGCATTTCAATCAAGGCTGCACCACTACCAAGCACAGATGGATTCTGGATCCTTCCGATATTATACAATGGGACAAGATTAAGTCTGATGGTAAGAGACTTTTACTTTTCCAGAATATATTATTAAAACCTTGTGAATAAAATCTATGCTTGGTACAAATTGTATGAAGGTGGTAAAGCTATCTGAGAAAAATCACGCAGTAAGTGATTTCAACTTCAGAAGCTCATGGCTTCTCAGATTTTAAATAGAAATGAGTTGTGACCTTTTGTATTAAGCAGTGAAAGAATAGCATTCTGTGTCAGGAGAATGAATATTTAATTGGGGCTGACTGTTAGTGCATTTGGAAACACCTGTTACATGTGCTTAATGGTATCTCATCCCCAGCCAGCATTTCTTCTGTGAGGCTGATATCAAGGGCTATAGAGCCCCACATGGACTACTGCAGGCATTCGGATAGATCAGGGACAAATGACCAAGATTTCCTGGTAGTTTTTAATAGTGTTAAAAACAAAACAGGAAAATAAACACCCCCTGCCCCAGACTGACCTTCTGTACAGTCATAGCAAAACTGTACAACACAGCACTTTATACATTGTTTCGCATGGGACATGATGGAAAAATCAACTACAGAGTTAAGGTGACAACCAAGCTGCTCTGCAGTATCTGAAGGTGTCCAGCTACCGGAATGACCAGCAGTGCACAGGGGTCTCAAGGGAACATGGGATAAAATTGGCACGTGTCTGCTCTCATAACACGGATAGGGCTAAGTGGCATTGCGGTATGGTGTAAAGAGCAGGAGAGGAGGGGAGCCTTTCGTGTGGTACTCAAAAGGATCAATCTCACTGGCTGGCACAAAACTAACTGTTAATCCTTTAACGTGGTTGGGAATTAGAAGCTGCAAAATGTTTCCCAAACAGATCTTCTTGTTAACTTGCTAATTCAGTTGCAAATTCTGTCCCAATCCTGGCTGCATACAAAAAGCCTTGCTTGAAGCATAGCCAACCACTCAGAGTACTTGTGTTTATGATTTGGGGATCTACCAGAGAAGATGAACATCCTCTTATAGCACAGCTTTGCAGGAAAGTCTCTGCCTGACTGATTTTTCTGCTTTCTCTATATGGAATAGGCCAGGGAACCTGATGTTCTGTAAATCATCTGGCAAGGACTCAAAGAAGTTGCAGGGAGGATGCTCTTCATCGATTCGCTATGGAAATCTCAAGCAGCAAACTTTTATAAGTTTACAAGAAGAACGATTTCCTTTAAAGCTACACCTGTAAAAGTACATTAAACATGCTTGGAGTAGCTCTTGGCCTTAAGGCCAGCTGGCACAGGACAGTCTGTGTCGCTACCATGAAAGTTATTTAACCCCTAAACCAGGAAGGCTGCATTCAAGCTGCTTATAGGGAACGGTCTCTCCCCCATCCTAGTGTCCAGCTGGGCTCCAAAATTGTTTTGGAGAGTAATTATGGGCTAAAAATATAGAAGGGACCATTGTTGCAATTTAACAGTTAGGCAAGCAAGTTCCAGTGCTGAGGGACATTCCCTGGTACCACTGATGTACTGGGATAGATACAGTCTAAGGGAGCCTTCGGACAGTACAGCAAGTATACTGGGCAACAACGGACTTCTGTTAGTTCTTTCAATAAAAAAGCACCTCCAAGAGCTTTGCTGTGGCTCATTCCCAGAGCTCAATTCCAGAATCACATCACACTGCAGCCTTCCGAAATGGAGAGTTGTGCAGGAGCTTTTAAACTTGTTCATCAAACCTTTAAAGAGCCTTCACCTCATTCTTTCTGATTACAAAAAATGAAGTGTTGACCATGTATTCTGGGACGCCCTCTTCATGCAGGTGATTTGCAACAGGTTCCTTATGCCTGTGAGTTTTGTTGCTTTCAGCTACGTTAACAGCAGCAGGTCACATTCCAGTACTGCATGAACCTCTGTGTGAGCTTCCTAATGGCACTTTGTATTTCAGTCTAGCACTAGGGAAGTTTGGGTTTGATGAGATAAATTTTTCAAGATAAATAAAAGGAAAAAAAACCCCAAACTTAAAACTGAAGTGTAATTTCAAGTTTCCTCTATAATTTTCAACTAGGTGATAGGCCACTGAAACTCTGCTATTGAAACTCTGTATCTGGGCAAGGGAATTTTCTCACAATATGTAAAATTTCTCAGATGTTTTAAAAAACCTACTGGTGTAAAACAATGCATAGCCATTGACATCCACGCGATGGCTATTGCGATTAAACGCCAGACAAGGAGTCGTCTCCATTTTGATAAAATAAGTCTGAAATAACCCTGACTTTTAAAATCCTGAGAATTGAGCTGCTTCCAAGCCACTAAAGTGGATATACATACTTGGTGATCATTCAGCTTTTCCACTCTTTAAAGACACAAGTGAGGTTGGTTTCTCCAAGAACTTCCAAGAAGTAACATACAGTTTTGTGAGGCTGGTATAACCTTCCCATTCCCGTGTGGAGGGGAAATCAACAAAACTCTGGGGCACCATTTCCCATACTCCTACAGCACACAGTCTATTCCACGTTGAGGAGTCCCTTGAACTGATGAGAAGACTTTGACAAAACTTATCAGCTATACTTAGCTGACAGAAGGGAACAGAAATGGAGCTGCGAGAAAAGCCACTAGGCTTTTGCCGCACGTGGCCGTAACTGCCACTGGAATTGTGGAAACTGCAACTGTGGATGGACCAACCCATATGCAGTAGGTTTTTATAGGGAGGTTGAGGCATGTTATGAGTTCATTGGTGGAGATGTTCTCACCTGAATAGTTTTAGGATTTTTTTTTATTCCATCACTGAAATGAAAAGTTTCTCTAAGAATTCTGATCTTTTCTCAGTGTAGATATTATCAACTGCAGTCATCAGCAAGCACAGCTCCGAGTTTTGCTACTTTTGGTGACACCAGATACTGTAAACATTTCTTTGGGTTTCTTGGAACTATCTTCGTTACAACTTTATGTGTCAACAGAACTGTTAACTGTTACGCTATTCTGAAGAATCCTTCTCCAGATCACTGCACAACATAATGCTCTTAGTTGCTGAACTTACCAGGTTTGCTCTTAAGTTTTATTATTGATGTTCATCTTAAAAAAGTCTGTCTTAATTCTGAATTGCCTAATGGTGTACTTGTCTGTACTGGTTTGTTATATATGCTTAACATATGATGGTGGATTCTCCATTTCTCGAACTAGACCAAGAGTCCTATCTTTTTTAAAAAATCTGTCCCCCATTCCATGAAAATGAACAAATGAGGAGTGATATTCTTCCCAACTAAGTTTTACAATCTATCAGGAATAGATGCTCTCTAACATTAGTTCTAACATTAATGAATTTTTAAGCGATGTGCAAACTATGGATGTTCTAATGTTACAAGGTACTAGTTGAACAAATAGTAGAATTTGCATGAAACTACTTGATTTTCTCTTGAAAATAAATGAAAGCATAGAGATCTGAAACAGAATTCTCTTTCTTTTCTGTGACCCCAAGGTTAAATAAAATGCACATATACTTCCTATTTGATGACTAATACTATGAAAAATCAAATCCTGCTTCAAAAATTGGTATGCTTACCCCATAAACAAGTTCTCCCACCATCCCATTCCAGATTTTTGTCTCTGGATCCCTTGCTCCATATTTTCCATCAGGAACAATGGCAATTTTGTACTTGATACCAATATGTTTTGCAATTTCTGACGCCAGATCTACACAGTATCCTTCAAACTTGTCATTCCCTTCAAACGTATCATGGTTTTTCTTGAACATAACATATGGGGCTTCCTATAATGAAAGAAGTAGAACTGTAAAGGAGAAATATACAGAATATACTCTGAAAAGTAACATCATCTGACTGAACAACACACATTTTATCAAAAGTTCATGGTTAGTATTAACACATTTAAATTAAAATGTATGAACAGAAATCCTTCTGGAAAGGTATACTATTTACACTGTAATGTGGCTTATACATTTCATAACATTTATCAACTTTACAAATTATAAACACAAAAACCATCCAAGAATGCATATAAATTTTACTTTGTTTTAAATGAAAGACCTTAGTGCAGTATATGCTAAATTTAAAGCGTGAACAGAGGTCAAACCTATACAATGCAAATGACTCTGGGATAATGCAAGGTATAATTTACTTTTGACTTCAGTAAGTAGGCATATCCTCTAACATAGTGTGGTTACTATCTATGTAATTTGAGATGCACAGCCTGAATGATTTGCTTTCTTGCGGTTTAGACTGCATACTTACTAAGAGGCTACATGTATTTTAGTGAGAACATAGAAATACGTTCCCGAAGAAACACATCTCTTCCCCTTTGAATAAAGGGGGAAGATTCTGCAAGGTCTTTTAGGATGAATCTAAGCAATATGCATGGACAAGAATGGTATTAAGCTGGCACTGACTTTACCTGCTGCATGAAAAAGAAGTACCAAAATATTTTTGGTTGGTGTGTGCCATTGAAAACAAATAAAACCTGTCTCGAAAAGTGGATCTTACATTCCCTTTGTAAACCATACTATCACAATAGTGAACATTATGTGATTGGAAAATCAAGGTCACATTGGAAAAACAAGGTCATGTTTTTCTTTTTTGCTTTGTGGGGATTCAGACTTTAGCAATCACTATGTAACACTACACTTTCTGGTGGTATTTTAAATTACTTTACATAATTCATATTCATAGCCAGTTCCAGAAAAAATACTTGTCGCTAATGGCACCCTTTGTTTGAATTTACATCACAAAATACTGGCAACTTAAGTTTTCTCTGTGCTGGCGAGTGTTGGTTTTTTTGACACTAACCTTGGTAGTACTCTTCCCTATTCACATCTTTCCTACATACATAATTAGTACAAAAATAAAATAAAGGTAAATGTGTAGTCTGAGAATGTCTGCTTCATTGAAACTACATCAACATCAGCTGTAAGCAATTATTTTGTAACCTCTATTAGGTGTTTAACAATGGAGGATGCGTGGCATTAGCAATAGGGGACTCAATAAACCAATTCCAGAATTTTTCAGTGTGTCAGGTATATTTTTCCTTTCAGAAACCAATATGTAGCTCCTATTAGCAGGGTATGGATCCGCCCAAGATAAGAACTTGATAGGCAAGTCTGAACAGTATCTTTAATTTACTATTACAAGGTGAAAAGGCAGAGAAATAGAAAAGAGAGATTTTATGTGGGAGGCACTATTCCTTTACTTACGTAAGTTTACTCCCTGTGGTAACTCTGCCCAGGTCCCACCTTCATATAAGGATGGCAGAACAGAGCTTTGTGCAATGTGCGTGGAGAAAGTTGTGTAGTTTTTTTACTTCAATGTGAGCGAAAGGTCCCAGATTAAATTCAACACAGTTTGGGAATGAGGAAGTGCTAGTGTTTCCTTAAAGACAGAATCAGTTCCTAAGTATTGCAGGAATGTCTCACTCTCAGGTGTATTCCCAGAACAGCTTTCCTCCCATCGTCTCCTTCTTATGTTGTTCTCTGCTATGGACATGCCTCTTCGGGCCACAATCCCTTAGCAGTAATTCAGTGTTGGAGGTCATTGATGCGTTGTGGCCATTACTTCAGCTAAGGAACCACACAGCATAGAAAAGTGTCCATAATGATCACTTCCAAAGTCAAACTCTGTCTGGCTATCTGTTTCCTTGACCTATATATGAGTATAAATGCCCAGAGAAATTTGAGGTTGACAACAGCAGATTGTTGCATTTCTTGAGCACATAGTTACGACCACTGCACAGCTAAGGATTGCCAAGGACTTCTAAAACTGGGGCAAACACAAAACAAGCTGTTATCATCCCGATGTGTGTGGCCTGGGCACTGAGGAGACCACTGAGCTACAGCATTAACTACACAGTGTAATCACTACAGGGATGCAGTGCAATGCCTTTGCCTGTACAGAGTTTCTATCTTCAAAGGAAAACTGCTGAGTATTAGCAGCAGCCTGCACCATTTCTTGTATTCCTATCCCCAGTTAAATCAGCTTAATCTCAACCACATGTCTTCCAGAGGCGGGGAGAGAGAAGAGCAAGGAGAAGGGGTCCTGCCCTCTCTTTGCAGTACATCTTGATTTTGGGAAGTACTTTGGGCACATGAATCAAGTGTTCCTCTCTTATGTAGGCTTTTTGTTCCCATGGGAGGAAAAGTAAAAATCTGTGCCTTTCTACATATGTTATTTCACAAAAATGGTTAAAAATAAACAGAGGCAAAAAATACTATGTTTCCTGACTGTGATTTATCCAACTGCTAGCTAGAAATACATCCAAGTCTTGTCCAGTATCCTGCATTTGTGGACTCTCCTTACAAGCTTCAGTTACATTTGCTTGCTGCACCTCAAAAGCAATTTTGTTTTTCAAAGACCAGAGTTGGTGACTGCTAGCTCTTCTGATTCAATCTTTCTTAAAAACCCCAAGCCAAAGGCATACAATTCAAGTCACACCAGGAAATAATAATTCTGGAGAGGGACACAAAGCAGACAGGCACAGAGGAGGCCAGGTCAGCCTGCCCCTTCCCCCAAAACCCAGACACTGTGCTTCTGCCTGCACCTCATCACTGACAGGGCTGCTACAAAAAAGCATTTCAACTGTCCCTATAGAGCAAAGCAAAGATGACAGATGCTTTATTTTTCCTGTTAAAGGCTAAATAAACTTCAGCCCTCCTCCCCATGAGTTCTGTGAGGGAACACTGAGAAGGGAAGCAGTAGGGTCCAGTACCATCCTTGGTAGGTGCAAGCAGCGGCAATCCCGTCCAGTGGAGGGACCACCAAGTCGGGGCTCAGAAGACCTGGGTTCTGGCAGGGATCTGTTGGGTGACTTGAAGGAACCACATTGGTTCTCTCCCCATCCACTTCTCTTTCTACACACTCTGATCTTACGTATTTAGAGCAAAATACAGCAAGGAACATCTCTTATAATGCAATTCTCTTATAGAGTAAGGTAGTACCTCTTGCTGTGACTGCTTTAAAAGAAGCAGCAATTGAGTGAGATCTGCCAGTGTGAAACAATACGATTAAAAATAATGGGAACATCTACTACCTTTTGCTTACTACGTTGTTCTTTCCCTCCTACCTATTTTATACAGAATAAATAACAGTTTCTTTAACTGTTGTGCCTACTTTACCTGCCAAATAATGAGAGATGTATTTTCAAGGTAGAATTTGGTGGGGGGATGTGGATAGGACTGAATGTGGCTTTCTGATAAGGACTGTTTGCAAAAAAAATCAAATAGTAGCAGTAGTTTTAAATTCGATCCATTTCAGACTTTGGAGTGTTTCAAACTAATGAGGTGTGCAGATGTTATTATAATAACATTGGGGCACTGAAAGGCAAGTTTTACCGGTTTGCTAACAAGCAACTTACACCGATGAACTTGTAAGGTTACACTGCAAAGTCATGAAATATCTGAATTGATCAATAGCCTATACTCATCCATATCTTGATGCTCTTTTCTATCTCTGACACTGAAAAAGACTATTTTTTCTGTATATTCTATTACAATAGCATTTTCTAATTAGTAGTAATGTTAGTGTAACCACGCTAGTCTAAAGATATAAGAGATGCAAGTTATCTATGGAGAGGTAGTATCTTCTATTAGGTCAGCTGAAATAGCTGAAAACAGTAGGCATGCTTTTTCACCATTTCCAGTTATAGCATCTTGTCTAATAAAAATATTACTTCTCCCCACCATCTTTGTATTTACTACATTTTTGAACTATAAACTCTTAACCTACTGGTATAAAACACAGGTTTGACTTACTGCCGAATGAGGTTTAACACCGTAACATTTGCAAGATTTCAGCTGCTTAATAGTATTCTATGGGGTAGTGAATCAAGGAAAAGTCCACATTGAAATGATCAATGACTAGCACGGAACAGGTATTTGAAATGGTGCAAGCTTTACTTATATAATTCACAATTTTATAACAATACTTAACATTCGTAAATACAAGTTGATGTCTGCAACAATTACCTTTATAGATGTAAACAAATCATTCCACCACATTGCCACAAATTCATGTGTACAGTAAAATGCTCACAACTGATGATTCATACTATAAGGGAAGCTGGAGAAAGTAACTAACCCAAATACCAAACAGATCTATGTTTGTCTTTCCTATTGTAAAGTTCATTTCAAAATCTTTAAACATTGTAAAAATAATTTGTAAAAATGACAAATATTTGTGCAAGGAAATGTCTCATTTTTAGAACAGGAGTGGCACACATTATCACACTTTATTCTGAAAGAAACTTCTGTAGATGTCAATGGAAGGTTTTTTGAGTTTTGTGGTTTGGGGTTTTTTTTCTGAATAAAGTGTCCAGGATTCGGTTTGAAGTCTTTATTATTGTCATGCAACAAACTTCAATTTTTTCTCCAGTCTATTAAAGAATTTAATTAATAAAATTTCTAATGAAAAAATATTTTTCTATTATGAGAAAGGAGGTTATAGTTAGAATTTTTGAGGTAAGACTCCGTCAAGAGTGTATCAGTCAAAACAATAAGGGTGGTTCTCAGTCACCTAATGAAGGTATCTGTCATCTGAGACGCCCTAAGGTAACCTGCTTGACCCCCAAGTGCCATTCTGCAGGTCCTTTGTGCTGCCCCTTTACGGACAGGTCTGATATCCTCAATGCTAGGCATCCACCTATGGGCCACTAAATCAATTTCTAAATCTTTGTGGACTTTGATGAAAACTTACATACTTGGGGCGCAACTCATCCCACATGTCTGAAACAACATACAGTAGCTGAGACATCCACATGGAGTGGTCATATATGGTATAAAACAGGCAAGTGTCATCCTGCCAGTGTAAGAAATGGGGGGTAGGCAGTATATCCTAGAGCATCTTAAATGTCACTGGGTACTTATAAGGGGCAACTGAATGAATACCCTTTGTAAAGCCATCTACATTTACGTGACTCAGTCTTGAATTGGATCCTGCCCTTGAAGCTTAATCTGCCAACACCAAGACTATCTCATTAAAATACTGAGCTGGAAGCCACAATGCAGACGCAGCTCATTGTACATCGAGCTTTGGTTCTATATGATTTTTAGGATTTTTTAAGTTTTGCAATCTCAGAGTAGGTACAGAGTTGGCTGTATCATGAAATGGATTAGAGAGTAGTCTTCCCAGCCTACTCTCCTATATTCTACCTCAACGTCTTGTCACTGTATTTCTCAACTTGCTAAATTAGAGATGATCATTCTGCCTAGCTAGATAAGTCACTCACTTTACCTTAGTGTTAGAGGAGGGCTGCACATGGCATCCCTTCTCCAGTCATACAATGAGCCTACTGTGCACTTGGAGGTCCCAAGCCCCCGCTGGAGGGAATGCTTCTGCAGACAGGTAGAAAATCTGTCCTTTCCAGAGGGCCAGATGTGCAGGAGGCTGTGCATCACATGAGGTGCAGGACACGGGGCTCTCCCAGGAACTATAAAAAGCAGGGCTGCACAGCACCTGGTAGAGTAAAGCGCATCAGCTGCCCCTGCTGCCCCCTCTCTCAGACCTGCTCCTTCACCACATGACTAATTGGAGATAGGTTGAGTGCCTATGCACTAAACCAAAACTGTAAAATAAATTCTACGTGCTCTCACTACGTTACAAATGAACATAATATTTTGCCAAGTAGAAAACACTGTAGTAAGTTCTTTGATTGCAGAGCTAATTTGTTATAATACACCTTCTACACAATAGCCATATAGCCACATTACAGCAAAGTAAGCATAGACACATAAAAACTGAAGAAACAGCAGGCAAATCAACTTATGCTACTTGGATTCAGGCAAAAATTAAAGCGAGCCATGCTGAAAATCTGTAAACTTTTCTTATGCTGCCACGACACCTGTCTTTGAAGACTGAAAAGCCTGACAGCACTGGTTGCAGAAGCTTTTCAGTTTAATGTTGGAAAATATGCATGCAACCAAAATTACATGTCATCTACAATGGTTCAACTTCCCTTCAATGTGAAGAAGGCAATGAAGAGGTCAAAAAGTCTCTGTCTGGCATTTGCAATATGACTACAATACAGAGAAGAGCAAAATAACAGGATTCTGAAAGTTATTCTAGTTAAATATATCTTTTCTTTGTGTGTGTGATCATATGCTTGTGGATGCTAAATACAGTGCCCTGGCAGGCCAATATTAAGAATCATGGTTCTCATCTGCCTTCAGCATCATGTGTGCAGCTCCCAGTGGATGGGAGATGGGCATGATAAGGCAGAATTCACCATATATTCTTATTCAAACCAAATTCTGATATATTTCTCTTGCACTGTGATTTTGAAATATTGAAAGGGGACACTTTTGGTCAAGAAGCAGTACTGCTTTCAAAAAATTGCATTTATCCCCAAATGACATGCTGCATAAACATAGGGCATGCTCTGGAATATTAATTCAGCTTTTTGGTTTTGAAAATGATCCCACCAGTCCTTTCAATACAGGGACTGGAAAAGTTCTTTTGAAGATAACATTTATTATGCACATCAAAATGCTTCAATGCAAACAGGACAGGCAAGATAACACATTTTAAAAGTTTTCTTGTTTTCCTTTTTTTCCTTTCTGGCAAACAGGAATCTTTTTATTACTTTTCATTATTATTTTTTACTCGCTTCTCCTAAGCTTGGAGCTATTTATGGAAATTACAGTATTCAGGTATGGTAGCTTCAGTCAAAGATATCAGGATTGGTATGAGAGGAAAATTTCGACTGAAAGCTTGTTATTCACATCGTTCTCTTCTCAGCTTGGCAAAGTTGAAGGTTAACGTCATCTGTTCTAGACATTTCAGATTAGTCACAGAACTTTTCTTGGTGGTTCAGTGCCTGGTCATCCAGTCAGAGGAACAGTAATCCATATGGAAAAATTATCTCAATGCTACTAGACTGGTGGTTAATACTTGAGCCTTAGTTAGGAATGTTCGCAGCATCTTGGGACTCTTTTCTTCCTTGATCAATTTCTTAAAATAGGATTCTTCATCAGAGGCTGAAAAGAGGAGGACTGTACTGAAGTATATTTTTTTTTCCATCACCAAGTCTTTTTTTTTTTTTAGGAAAAAGATACATATATTTTAAATGTCCCATGCAAAAAAATAAAATAAAATAGAAAGTTACACAATTTGGTTAGGAGTTACATTCTGAATTCCTGTACAGTAGTTTGGTTGGTTTGCATCCTGGAATGATAATCTTCAACAGGAGATTTGTTAAGACATACTTAACGTATAAATGCTGATACACACTGCTGGAAATCTGGTAACTAACTGCATTTTTGAGTAAGAAAATGTCTTGACACTTTCCTTTGGATTATTTTCAACTCTGTATTAAATTAGAAAAATTATTGCTTAACAACACATACACAATATTCCTTCCTATTTGAGACACAGCTTATTCTAAAGGGTTAAAATATCTTGTCTAAATGAAGCAGGTGAAAAGGGCAGTGAACTGAGATGTAAAATCTTAAAAGCGATCAGGTAAAGGTCACCCTTTGCCAGTTGGCTTTGACAAACATCAGCTTAAAAGGGCATGTCTGACTTCAGAGGGATAATTGTTAAATATTTTGTTTAAAATACAGATTTGTAAGAAACAATGGTTTTGAAAAACTACATATTAAAAATGTAAATGAATGAAGCAACTGCATTCTCCTTTGCAACCACTCTTTAAAAACACCAATAACACTGGAAAACCAAACCCCAAATCTATTTAGATTTTATTAAAATGGAAATTTTATTGAAATGCTGAATAAACATATTAAGAAATATGTTCAAATGCATCTACTAAATTCATGTTTTCATTCACAGTTAAAAGTAGATAATCCAGTTCTGATTGGCTGACTGAACTATACTACTTAGAATTTTAGCTCTTGCTAATGCCAATTTTGGATTTATAATGCATCAACAAAAAAGGACACTGGCATTACAGACACCTCATTTTATACCCTCTGTTCAGCTCTGTCATTTAGAGGTTTCATGTTTTTCTTTTCTTTCAGTTTCTTGTGGGTCAAGATTTATCAATTAGAGGTTGAAAGAATTCACTTGTATTTCTGAGACTTTTTACTTTAGTAAAAAATGGAAAAAATTACCACAACTCAATTTTAAAAACCTGATTTCAAGTGAATCATTATATTAAATGCATACAAAAAAAAATCTCTACAGACATGACAGCCAAGATAATTAAGATATATGGCTCTCACCCTCCCACTAACCTAGGAACTGGCAGACTAAATTAGATCGTAACTAGAAATGAGATTGTGTCACACACTAGTATAAGCATTAAAAAAAGAAACACCTTACCAAAATTGTAGTGACAACTACTGTTCTATTCTCAATGGCTGAAGTGTCATTTCCAAGTGTAGGTTCATGCTGAATCAAAACTAGTTTATCCATGTCGTTCCAGTAACCAACCTGCAAAACAAAATGTATATAATTTACAGTAGAAAAGTCTACATTCTGTATAAGTACAAATATAAATTATTATAAGAACAACAGAGTCATCCAAAGATAATTTTGTACCAAAGGAAGTGCTGATGCTTATAGACAGGTGCACGGTGGTACGTATCTAATACTTTGCGTATACCATCTTGCACCACTGCTGCACAGAGTCAGACCTGGTATCGCTGCCACTCAGCTGTTTCTGAATGATCTGAGCTACTTACTTCGACCAGAGGCACAAGTTAAATCCCATTTTCAGTAGTTTGAAGCCTTCCTGGGGCATAAAGGAGATATAAGAATTTTTGCTCTCCACAAGAAAATTTTCATTCACTAATCCTCCAGATCTTCTGGTCTTAGATGGAGGAGTGGAAGACATCTGGATGACAGCTTTGCAGTTCAATGGATGATCTCAATTCCCTGCTCCTTGTGGGCCTCCCGGGAGACCCCAGCCCAGGGACTTACACCAGACTTGTTCCACTTAACTGCTGGCACTGACCTTCAGTACCTATATTAGAAGCTGTTATTAAAGCTTTCTTTACACTCACTGGACAGACAGACACCACCAGATAGTGACTCAGCTCACGTAGGATAAACACCCCTCCTAGAAAGGTGCTTGCTTTCCCAGCTGATTCTAATGCATGGTGAGACTGACTTCACTCTAAAAGTACCTCTGGTAAGTGCCTACAGGGAGGTGGAACAAATCAGGTTTTCGTCTCTCTGACTGCATTGAGGCTGCCACAATCCTTCCCAGAGCAGCCTTAAGGTGAAACAGCTGACTTTGTTCATTGCTGGCCATGAACTACTTTAGAAACAGGTTTGAATCACTCGTTCTTGTATTCCCATGGAGAAAAAAAAATAAAAGCGGTATGCCTGCAATCAGAAGCCTTCCTTTACATACAGACATCACACTTTGCAGTGCACACCGCTGCAGCCTGCAGCTGTGCCCTCTGCATTGGTAGTGATGCTGCTGGGCACAAGACATGAGTAAACATCCTTTCCTGTGAGGGCTCAAGGATGCAGTGCTTGCTGTAAGACCGGATGGGATGAAGGCAGCCTGAGAAAAGGAGATTCCCCTTCAAACTTTTATTGATGCGTTTGGGAGCTGCTCAATGAACACTTAAAACTCCCCACGTGTCCCCAGAAAATCCCCACAGGCTATGTACTATGTCTTTGGATGGCCAAAAGAAGATACGAGACCTAAAATACTTCACTGTTTTTGTAAATCCTGGCCAGTCAGAATCTTACAGCACACTCATCTCCTCACTCCATGTGGTGACATCATTAGTATCTGTATCAGCAAGTGGTATTTCTGGATTTAGAGTTCATCCCAATCATTTAATGTTGCCCTGTGTGAAGTTAGGTAGGAAAGGTCATTTGCAAGGCTTCCTAGTAATGCTGTGTTCATGATGTTCCCAGTACAAAGCGAATGTCTATGAAATATGAGCCGGCAGTGTGCCCAGGTGGCCAAGAAGGCCAACAGCATCCTGGCCTGTATCAGAAATAGTGTGGCCAGCAGGAGAAGAGAGGTGACCGTGCCCCTGTACTCGGCCCTGGTGAGGCCCCACCTTGAATCCTGTGTTCAGTTTTGGGCCCCTCACTACAAGAAGGACATTGAGGTGCTGGAGCGTGTCCAGAGAAGGGCAACAAAGCTGGTGAAGGGTCTAGAGAACAAGTCTTCTGAGGAGTGGCTGAGGGAACTGGGGCTGTTTAGCCTGGAGAAGAGGAGGCTGAGGGGAGACCGCATCGCGCTCTACAACTACCTGAAAGGAGGCTGTAGCGAGGTGGGTGTTGGTCTCTTCTCCCAAGTAACAAGTGATAGGATGAGAGGAAATGGCCTCAAGTTGCGCCAAGGGAGGTTTAGACTGGACATAAGGAAAAACTTCTTTCCTGAAAGAGTGGTCAGGCCTTGGAACAGGCTGCCCAGGGAAGTGGTAGAGTCACCATCCCTGGAGGTATTTAAAAGACGTGTAGATGTGTTGCTTAGGTACATGGTTTAGTGGTGGACTTGGCAGTGTTAGGTTAGCGTTTGGACTCAATGATCTTAAAGGTCTTTTCCAATCTAAATGATTCTGTGATTCTACGATTCTATGAATGGCAAGTGGTTCAAGACAGTGGTCCCTTGTCTCACTCTTACTTGGAGATGTCTAATTCCACCTTCCCACCCATCCTTTCAGCACGCCAGACATAGATCCCTTAGCTGAAGGTTCTCTCGCATCTAACCTGTGACTCACTAGCAAACACCCTCCCTTTGCCCCTTCTTGCCATCCTCTTTTCTGCAACTAGATCATGGTTGTCTGTGGACCCTCTGACAAGGTTGCTGGGGAATGGCTCAGTGCCTGTTCCTCTGACCCAGTGCTGAGAGCACTCAGCTCTGTGTCAAACAGACAACATGGACACAAACATGTAGGAGAACAGTGCTCTAATCCCATCTAAAGGGACTCTCCAGGTTGCTGAGAACCTAATGAATTAAGAGACTGATATTTTTTCCCAGGAAAGGTGCAGACAGCGGCAGTGATTTTAAAAGTTTCCTGTCAAAGAGATGCAACTCAAGCTGGCACAGCTCACTTTTCAGAAGTACCTGGGGATCAGTCAGCAGCAACTCTCCCTTCCCTCCTTCCTTGATTAATTAGGAGTTCAAGAGACCAAAAGCTGTGAGGGAGGAATGCCTTGTCCATCTTACCAGAAAAGGAAAGGGAATTTTAGTGGAAAGTGGCCTCTAGACTGAGTGTCAGTGTAACTATCAGTGCCAAAGGACAGTCTGTGAAAAGACTGCAGTGTGATGGAAACTGGCTAAATGATCAGATCAGTTATGCAGCCAATATTACTTCTAACATTATTGTAGAACCCAGACTAAAATTCACCATCACATATGATTCTGACTCCATGATGTGGAGAAACATCTTGTTCAGATGAATGCAGTGACGCAATATGACAGTCTAGAAGCGCAGGGGAGTGCTTTTGGTTCCTGGTCTCATATGCATTAAAGAATTGTGTATATTCAGCCAACCTTCCTCTTGATTTTTTCCATTTACTATTTCATTAATTTCCTTTTTGAAAAAAAATTATGGAGAGGCAAGTCATTTTAGCAGTCCCTAGAGCAGTGTGCAGACACACCACAGAGAATTACAAATACATGAAATAATTCAATATGAGTGAGTATGAGTGAATATGAATGAATTTTTTTTTTCTATTAGTGCAGCAAACAAGCACAAACTCTTCCCATGCACAATTTCTGGTATATTTAGTTGAAATGTTCCTTTTCTCTTTGCAATTGCTATTACAGCACAGGAGCCTTGATTTAGGTGTCTGCAGCTAACAGGAAGCTTCAGCATTGCTGATATAGTGGGGAGGGAGATTTTCTTCCTAGTAGGATGCACTGCTAACAAATATTCTTTTTCATCCAGACAACCATAGAGTCACAGATACAATTGATAACTGAAAATGTCAAGTTCCTGTCAAAAACTGTGACCAGCTAAAGGCAGAATATGTACAACAAAACCTGGCAGTTTGGGAAGCTCATTATAATAGTGAATGATTGTTTTTCATTGTGCAATTCCTCACTGCTGGAAAGTTCAGAAGGAAAGCAGAAAATTAACGATGTACTGTGTTATAAAAGTAAGTACCATATGAAAACGCAGACAGAGATAAAGGAGGTTTTTGAGGAATGGCAGGCATTTTTTAAAGGAATTTTAGCTTGTGAGCATAGGTGTGAGCTTGCATGTCTGCATCTCAAACTTGCGCTAAAGTAACTCTGGAACTGGATTACTGAATAAATATGTAAGATATATCATGACACTTGTATAAGTATATAGACTCACAGTCACTGTGAGAGCACTAAATAACAATATGCTTTCCTATAAATACCTCAACCCCCCAAGGAAAAAAACTCCTCAAAGGATAGGATTGAATTCAGCTATTAAAGTACATCCAATTCTATTTTGATTGCAATTGAACTTTATAGCAATTGCATCCAATTTTACAGAGGCTGAATTTGTCCTTTAGGAAACAACATTGAAAAAATATCTGCCTCAAAGTAAATTTGTCACAACAGTTTGGCATTTGAATGAACAGTATCATTTCTGAAGACCTGTGCGCCTTGTAGCAATCACT